GAATTCAAAGTAGTTAATGTACTTAGAATTTTAATTATTCAACTATTCATTGTGTTGGGTATAACATAAAAGGTCTGTGATTAAATTGATCAAGCAACAATGTTTATGTACTATATACGTTATTACAAAATATTATATAATATGTGTGTTGGAATCGGCGAGTGCGATTCTCAAAGGCATATTAATTTTCTATAATAAAGCGATAACAAAGATTTAATAAATCCATGAATACCAGGTGTGTGAAATTGCTAAACATATAAACAGCGTCTTATTACAAAAAATATCTAGTTTTTAATTAGTATAAGGTTTAGTCTGCAAGAATTGTGGTAGCTCAGGAGCTCAGGTAGCTCGCTGTAAATTTCACGGTACGTGAGCAACAGAATCAGAAACAGAAACTTTTTTATTCAATATAGATTATAAATAATACTTATTGAAAGTCACTCTTTTGTTTGATTACCACGGGTTCGGAAAAAAACCTCTGTCCTGGGAAGAACCAGCAAGAAACCCAGCGGGACTTTTTTTTTTAAATAACAACAACAACAACAACCCAGGTTCGATCCCCGCCGGCACCAATGAAATTGTTAATTGCAATTTTAAGTGCTGATTTGCCACATGCTCGGCAATGAAGGAAAACATTGTGAGGAAACCTTCACATCATGAAATAGATATTTCGTAGACATGTGAAGTCCGCCAACACGCATTGGGGCTACGCGGCGGACATTCCCATACCCTAAGACCCTCTCAGAAATGAGTGGAGGCCTGTGTCCAGCTGTGAGACGTATATAAATTGACGGCTCCGTGGCGCTGTGGCTTAGCAATAAGTTGTTGCGCTGGAGGCCGCGGGTTCGAATCCCGCACGGAACAAGTATTTGTATGGCCTACAAATAATTGTTCCGGTCTGGATGTTTGTCCTCATGAAATTTATGTTTGTAAACTCCAAACTCCACGACACAGGAGAAAATCCTAGTGTGGGGGTAACGTTTTTTTAAAGAAAAAAAACACTTTAACTTTCTTTTAACTTTTAGCCTGTTTCAAGAACTATGTCAAACTACGCGAAGTCTGTGGCTCCGTGGCTAAAAGACTTGTTTCGTGACAAAGACTTTTCTTTAAAGTCGAGACTATCAATAAACCAAGTTTTAAATAAATAAAGAGTAATAAACCACAGCTTTAGTTATATTCACCTGATAATAGAAAACATTATAATCGAACATTGGAACGCACATTTTAAGATAGAAATACAATTTCAGAGAAGATATTTTTATAACAAATAGTAAAATTATAGTTTTTGTTTTGTTTTGATTTCAATATAAATAAAATGAGAACATCATCAATGTAGCCTAAGTCAATTAAACACGCATTATTAACGATAACTCAAAAACCACTGGTCAGATCTTCATCAAATTTATATGGAACTACATGATTTTACATGGTAGAGCCATGCTGCAGCTATATTAGTAGTATAATTGTAGCACGAATGGGTCGGCTCGACCGTGGAAGGACCACGCTCTCACAGAATACCAGCGTTAAATAGCAGCTTAACACTGCTGTGTTTCTTATGGTGAGTGTAGAGAACCGGAGACCCTTTTTACTGGAAAAGAGGCATTCCATCTTAGTGCTCACGATTGACAACGCATCTGCATTTTGATTCGCAAACGGGGATAGATGTAGATGTCTATGGGCCACAGCATCCACTTACCATCAGGTGGACTATAAAAATATGAAAAGCAAGTTCATATTTCATAATTCAATAAGTTCAACTAAAAAAGAATCATCAAAATCGGTTCACCTAGAAAAAAGTTCTGAGGTAACACACATAAAAAGCTGTCGAATTGAGAACCTCCTCTTTATTGAATTCAGTTGAAATTTTAAAACATGATTTATGACAGAAAACCTTATTACTTGTTTGGGCGAAAGACTACGCTGTTACAGAATACCACTATAAAATCGCAGCACACAAGACAAGAATGTTTTTTTTTCATGACAAGATTTCTGCATTTTTATTCTTAAATCGGAATAGATGTGGGTGTCTATGGGTGCCAAAGTGGTCCCTCAGGTAAACTGTGTGCTCGTTTGTAAACTTTATGTATAAAATAAACCTGCTTGGTTCCATAATTGACGTACAGTTGTAACACAAAACATCGCAAACCGCAAACAACCGATACAAGCGCGCTATCCAATATTTAATCTCAACCAGCGTTCGCGCGTTGCTAAAATTCGCAGCACGCTCGCAACGCGTTTAAAGATGGCATTGTTTCAGTTTAAATTCCTCCTCTATGACGCGATCGATGCAATCGTTAGTAATTTATCATTCACCCCGTGATCCTCGTCCATTTTGGCAATCCGCGGACGTGATATAGTAACCAAAAGCGCGGGTCACGTCAGAGGAGACATTAGCTAATACGTTATAATGCACCGTTATTATTTGGACGAATCTAACATTAGAACTTGCTTGTAATAAATTATATGACGGCTAAGTAAGACAGTTCTATGCATTTGAAAACAATTTTTGAACTGCGGGCTTGCAACCTACATGATGGTATGTAAAACTCCTTCACGAAATAAAAAATTCCTAGTGTAGAGTTATCTATGAAAAAAAGAAGTGGCCCATAGACATCTACATCTGCGAATCAAAATGCATAAGCGTTGTCACCCGTGAGGACTAAGTTAGAATGCCTTCTTTCCAGTAAAAAGGGTTTCCGGTTCTCTACACTCACCATACGAAACACAGCAGCATTAAGCTGCTATTTTACGCTGGTATTCTAAACGAGGCATACCATCTTAGTTCTCACGGGTGATAACGCATCTACATCTTGATTCGTAATCGAGACTAGATGTAGACGTCTGTGGGCCACAGCAACCACTTACCATCAGGTGGACTGTGTGCTCGCTTGTCACCTTTATTCTATAAAAAAAATGTAAATGTTATGATAATATTTATAATCGTCAATATTTGCGGTGCTCTTGCAAGATTCTTGTTTTGAACTATTTTTTTATAATTAAAATCAAATGTGTACAACAAGAATAGCAAATGAATTGAATTGAATTGAAATCATAGAAAAATCTTATGACTTTCCATAGATTGATTTTTTTAAATTGAATTAAAGCGTCATTAGCCTAATGGCAGGGTGCGGACCGCGAACTCGATAGGTCGTGGGTTCGAATCCGCCTCTCTCTACACCGCACAGATAGAGGCCTATTTTCAGCAATGTATTTCAATAGGCCGATTGAGAAGAAGTGTAGGTACGATTGCGCGTGCGTACACTTCCTTTTTATCGAGGAGCACTAATTCGAACTAACCTATTCGTGTAGATGTGGCACTTACGCGACAAGGTCGAAGCTTGTTTAGAGCGCACTGTTAGGGACACGGAAACAAACATAAATCAGCTAGAACCGAAACCTAACAGATCGTGTTTTGTACAAGTGTTCACCGTCATTAGAACCCACGCTCGCAGCACAGCAGCCAGGAACTATGAATAGTAGTAGGTACTTGTTATGTGAAGATTTTTTATCTTTTAAAAAAAAACGTAACCTCCACAGTAGGATTTTCTCCTGTATAGTGGGGACAGTTTACACACATGAATTTCACAAATACAAACATCCAGACCCGGAACAATTATTTGTAGGCCATACAAATACTTGATCCGTACGGGATTCGAACCCGTTGCCCTTAGAATTGTAACTCATTGCTAAGCCACTGCGCCACAGAGCCGTCAAGATAGAAAAACGTCACAGAGTTTTATGAAAAACTATATTATTACTATCGCGTTACCATCTTCAAGTGGGATAGTAGTTAAGCACTGGCTTAAAATAGGTTAAATGGGGAAAAAACATATAGTGCAATAAAGGAATAAAATATCAAAAGAAAAATGCCAGTAAAACTCCTTTTAAATCTCAATCGATTCAAACTGTAATAGCAGACTTTACGGTAAACTTCCGTTTAAGAAAAACAACAATGGCGTTACATAATGAAGCGAAATCCCAAGGTCGAGACAAATCGAAACCGTATATAAAGGGACCTAACAGACCAGAACCGAGCCTGTGGCCTATTTCCAGCGGAAATGACGTCGCCAAGCCGTGAACACGACAACTTTAAGGCATCGTTTTCACTTTCAACGCAACACACTGGAGCGGCAGTCAGCAACCCGTGTGAAAGAAGCTTTTGCTATCAGTTCGCTCGTTAAAATCTTCTTACATATAATAATTTCATAACAAACATAAACCCGTATTACTATTTTATGACGTGTAGCGGATAAATTAATGGATCGTGTGGCTATAAAGTATATATATTATACTGGAATATTCCTTATAGTTGTAAAATCCATACCGGGCTTACTTGCGACGTGCGATCTATAAATCATGGGAAAATTGTTATGAAAACTTTATTCTAATAACTTGTTATTACTATTACATAATTTATTAACTTCTAACTGTTCTCTGCGACTTCGCTCGCTTGTAACTCATTACGATTGGATTTCAAGGGTTTTATTTTTTTTGTGTGGAACCCTAATTCTTTTTCTAAAATAAAAGTAGCTTAAGTTATTCCTTATAGCATCAGCTATTTGCCAGTTAAAGTCCCGTCAAAATCAGTCCAGCCGTTTCGGAGATTAACCCTAACAAACACACAGGCAGACAGGACTTTTTTTATTTGTTTTTGTCATAAGCACCGTATATACTTTCATATGCATATAGTAAAAAGCTGTTATTTTGACATTACAAACAGAAACTTCAATTTTTTTTTTTTTTTATAAGCGATCCGACCCGGCTTCGCACGGGAGATATCTGGTTTTCGACAACGGCTCCACCTACCGGGTCCAATTGTGAATCCAAACTATTCAGGGACTCACTCAAACACATACAAAAAATTTCATCAACATCAGTCCCGCCATTTTCGAGTTTTTGCGATACTAACGAATACTGCGACTGATTTTTTTATACGGAGATTTTACCAATCTCTTCTGTTATTTATAGATTGTTTAAACACTTTTTTTCTTTCTTTTCAGTCATTCTTCGGCCGATCGTACAACAACCTGAACTCTATCACCGAGTGCAAGAACAATGGTGAATGTGTCATCAATAAGAAAAACCGAACTGCTTGCAAAGCTTGTCGACTCCGCAAGTGCTTGATGGTGGGCATGTCTAAATCGGGCTCCAGATACGGCCGCCGATCCAATTGGTTCAAGATTCATTGTCTATTGCAAGAGCAGCAACAGGCGGCTCAATCAAGATCTCCACCTAGAGTTCCGCCTTCTCCACATCATTTAGCCCCACCTTTCCCTCCACACCTTTTCCCGGGCTTAGCAAGACCAAGAACGAAAGAGGAATTTGCATTATTAGGGCTCGATGAATACAAAGCGCCTTGTTCCGGTTCGCCTGACTCTCATAGAAGTGGTTCATCGCCTAAATTAGACGAGAAAACGCGGATCACACAATCAAGGCCACCAGATAGACCCCTAACACCACCAAGAGACACATACGTCCCGCTTCCCTTAGCCAATATTACCTTGCCCCATTTCCCCCACTCGCCTTTCTTACCCCCACCGCCTTTTAGCCCATTTGCTGCAAGCCATCCATTGTTATTCCCACCCGGGTTTCACCCTATATACTCAAGACATTTGTTAGATCATGCAGCTTTAAGACAAGCAGCTGAAAACAACAACGATGTGAGAATCGACGACCACAACGCTGACTCATCAAAACGATTCTTTTTAGATGAGATTTTAAAACAACAGCGGTCTACTCAACCCACTCCGCAAGAAGATGTCATCTCAGAAGCAGAATTTGTTCCTACACCACCAGCAGAAAGGAGAACCTCCGAATCACCACTGCAAGAAAATCCAATGGATTTATCCGTAAAATCCGACGGCAGATCTAGTTCAGCAAGGCGGAGGTCAGATGATAGCGAAGTGATAGCTCCTGATAATGATGATGGAGACTCGGCTAGTGCTATATGTTCTGCCAGTGAAGAAGAAGACATGGCTTACACGCAAATTAAAAGAATCAAACTCCATCCTTTAGACCTGACGACCAAAGTGTGACGCCGCCTCTATAAACAGCAGCGTGCCGTCACGATGAACTGTATATTATTTTGTTGTTAAGAAAGGCCAGTAAATCGGATTGTGATTTTAAAAATAAGTAAAAAGTGACTTTTTGGGCGAAGTTTGTTTGTTATCGATTGATTAAAGAGTCTATCCCAAATACGTAAGTTAAGTAGCTTTTAGTTTAAATTGTTATTGGTACTTAGAACCCCGGTTGAAGGTTGTACAAAATGATTGTAAATATTAAATTATTCCGTACATGTAAGCAATAGGTTAATAGTTGGTTTATAATGGAAACAGCCGGGTGTTGCAACAATATGCTGCTGATGTGGATAAATATATTTTTGTATAATTTTTGAATATAATTTATTTGATGTAGCAGAATTTTTTGTTTTGATGTGCCGTTCGAGGATAGAAAAATGTATTAACTTCGGGTGCATTTGTGAAACTATTTTAATGTCTTCGAATTTTAAGTTTATGGTAGTCATGCACCTGATTATTACTTTTATGTTAATAAACTTTTGACATTCCATTTTATACTTTATGAATAATATACTCGGTGGCTTTTACATTGCTAAGAATTTGCTCAATATTTCTATTTTATCCTATCCTATGTACTCATTGTAGTGAAATTTATTTTCAATCACACATACTCAAATATAATACTTTACTTGAACTACGTTTGTATATAATGTAAGTAGCGTGTTGTTTTTTTTTTAATTACATAATACATATACAAAATGTTTGTAATGAAATGCATTCCACGGAGACGTACAAAATAAAATAATCATGCACTCGACTTCTTTAGTTTTTTCTTTTTTTATCCCCTATGATTTGGAAGCAAACGAAGTAAAGTATACATGTTAAAAAATTTACATTACTACAATCTTTAACTGTATCATCATCATTACATGTATCATGTACACATAAAATGACCTGAATTATCTGCTACTGATTTACAATAGGTACTTGACCAAATACTGAAGAGAGTCTGCTGAAAGGCTTTCGGACTGTGATTTTCATGTATATAATGTAAAAAATAAAAATATCTATTGCTAGCGCCCAGTCCTCCCATTCGATCTTATTCTGACAGATTCTTATCACAGTATTTGGATCATTATTCTATCCTATGTGCTGGCTGGTATATAATGTTACATTAAATATAATATCATCATTATCATCATTCAGCTCTTCACAAGTCGACTTTTAAACATAATAATGATAATGTCGTCCAGGCTGATCTTCGGCCACGGTGGCCAGTCTCAACAGAGACTAACCATCGGTGCAGGACAGGATTACAGTGCCCAAGTGTATGCACAAGTACAGGTGCACTCTCTATTCCCTCACTCTCATAGTCGGATGGAACGGTAAACTGACACGACCGGAGAGATCAGGCGCAGGACCAACAGGTTTACGTGCTTTTCCAAAGTACGGTGGTGAGACACCGCCAACTTCCTCACTCCGGGCAGCTACTGAGAATTTCTTGATGGAAAAACTCGATTCGAACCCGGGACCTTATGCTGATCATAAATCGCACTACTAAGCAACCAGTAGACCAACGATGCAGTCATATTTTAATTATAAGAATGCAACAAAATTTAATATGGTGAAAAAAATACAAATCTTAAATGATTTGGTTTCTTCTTATGCTATACTTTGCATAAAGTTAATATATTAAAGTATCTAATTTAAAATTTAAAATTTTGTACTGCCGACTTCAATATAAGTTATTAAGAATAACTCAAAAACTATTGGTCTGACCTTGATCAAATTCATATGGGACCACACGAGAAGTACCAGCTTTCAAATAAAAAAAGAATCATCGAAATCGATTCACCCAGTAAAAAGTTATGAGGTAACACACATAAAAAAACATACAGTTAAATTGAGTACAGTCTCCTTTTTGGAAGTCGGCAGAAAATAATTGCTAACGTCCGCATACCATTTCTATTTCTATTAATTCCCTTATCCATTACAGCCAATTAAAGTCCACTGCTGAACAAAGGCCTCCCCCATAGCTTGTTTCGTAGGGGGAATATTGCCATAGTTGCCACGCTTGGTTGGCAACCGCAGTTTCTTATTATTTAGAGTTGTTATCAGGAAGATGCTGCTGCCCATCTTCTGTTTTAATTTAACTCAGCCGCCTCTTACGACACCCACGGTACGATATGGGGTAGTGGATATTCTTTCAACGCCACTACACAGTTTCTATTCATTATTCTATTATTACGGAACCCGAATTTCAGTAAATTAATTTTGTTATCTTTAATAAAATATAAGATATAGTTATTTCGATTTAAAATTCCAATAGAGTATTAAATTAAATTTAATGAAAAGATTAGACACAATATATTAAAAAAACTATAATAATAAAAAAACTAAAACTAACCCCGTGGTATCGTGCCAAGAACACAGGCTGCGTTTCCTCGCTGAATGGCTATACCTACCCTTTGAGCGAGAAAAGTACCAGTTCTCTTATCGCCAGCAGTGACAAGCAGTGTGGATGGATACATTTCGTTTAGGAACTTCACCACACGTGGACCCGGATGGACCTATAGTATATACAGCAAATGGCACAAATATGTCATCATCTCATCTCTCAGAGACTCATATTTGCGCCACTTACTTAACTCAGCTGCCTCTGATGCCGCCCATCTCTAAACTTCTCTTTAATTAATTTGTTATTATTGTTTAAATAGAAAAAGCGTAGAATACCACATAATGAAACAAAATGTGTTTTGCATGGTAAACGTCGAGTAGGCAGATTAGATTTTCATTACTTGTGATTTTTCTTTACCACAATACCACCTGAAGAAGAACGGCTCCATATCCCTAAATTGTAAAGCTTAACCGATACAGCCTATTACAAGACCAATACTAAGCATATGCCTCTCCATACAATGCCTCGTAGGAGGTTCATATTTGCCCGCTTAGCAGGCGCTGCTATCTCCTGGTTTGTTTCTCTCTATCGTCTCGGTTAAAAGAAGCTTATATAATCTTGCCTTGGAGTCACATTTCGTAGTTAGATAGAATGACAGATATTGGGAAATTACTGCAATCCTTTGTTGTACGCACTACGATGCTCGTATTCGAGCGTAATCGATATCTAGAAAAGATGTAAAATGGACACCACTAGTATTCTCAAAGAGCTCGGGCTTCGTGTGAGTGTACCTAAGTGGTACATGTTTTAAAACCAATATTTAATTAATTCACTCATTTAAATCCTTTCAAATGTACTGAACTGAACATAGGCCGTTTCCAAAGATTGCGTCTATATTACGCTACACATAGCGGGTGAGTTTGCTTCCCCTGTTTTCCTATTATACTGAGTTAATATCAAGAAGGTACTGTTGCCTATAACCTTTTTCATTTTTTGTCACCTCTTCCGAAGCCCGCGGAATGGTATGACGTGATGGAATTCAAACCAAACAAGTTTTAAAATCGATCATTGTACAATTAATGCACATCATCATCATCATCATTACAGCCTTTCACAAGTCCACTGCTGAACATAGGCCTCCCCCAAGGAATGCCACAAAGCACGGTCTTAAGCCACCTGCATCCATCGACTTCCTGCATATCTTACCAGGTCATCACTCCATCTAGTGTGAGGTCGCTGGCAACACGCACTGGTTGTACAATTCCGTTTCCAGGTTTTGAGGTATGTCTGACGAGAATATGTGTCGTAGTTTCTCGAACACTGCCCAGCCGAGTTGAATCCGTCGATTGACCTCTCGGTCGAAGTTGGACTTACCTAGTCGGACTATTTGTCGCAGGTAAACATACTCGTCAACAACTTCGAGATTAGTGCCCCCAACAACTACCGGCATGGGTGTGATATGGACATTATACATGATCTTTGTTTTGTCCATGTTCATCCTAAGACCTATTCGTTTGGAGACACTATTGAGGTCATTGAGCATAGTGCTTAGGTTCTCCAGCGATTCTGCCATAAGGACTATATTGTCGGCAAATCGAAGGTGAGCGATGTACTCGCCATTGATGTTAATACCGCATCCTTTCCAGTCCAGTAGCTTGAAAACGTCTTCCAAAGCAGAGGTGAAGAGTTTCGGGGATATAACGTCACCCTGTCTTACACCTCTCTGCAGTTGAATAGGTTTCGTACTCTGATTCTGTAGTTGGATAGCCATCGTAGCCCTGTTGTACAAACATTTCTGCACTTCGATATACCGACAGTCAACTTGGCACCGCTGAAGGGACTGCTGCACCACCCAAATTTCGACGGAGTCAAAGGCTTTCTCATAGTCCACATACGCAAGGCAAAGTGGCAGATTATACTCGTTTGTCTTCTGTACAATCTACCGCAGGGTATGTATGTGGTCTATGGTACTAAAGCCTTTTCAGAAACCGGCTTGTTCGGGAGTCTAGAAGTCGTCAAGTCTGCGTGTGAGACGATTCGTAATGACTCTTGAAAACAGCACGTAGACGCGGCCCAGAAGCGAAATTGGTCTGTAGTTCTTCAAGAAAGCGTTGTCGCCTTTCTTGAAGAACAAGACCACCGCACTTCTGCTCCACACCTCCGGAGTAGTGCCACCATGGAGGACGAAATAAAAGAGCTTCTAAAGGACTTCAAGTACCGGTTTTCCATCCGCTTTTAAAAGCTCCGCTGTAATTCCATCCTCGCCCGGGGACTTGCCGTTTTTAAGGTGCTGGAGAGCCATTCTAATCTCGCTCAGACTGACATCCGGAATATCTTCGGAATATCGGATAAAACTCGCTCTTGGATCTTTACTCACACTTGCGTGTGGCTCTAACGATGATGTGTACAGCTGCCCATAGAACCTCTCAATCTCACTCAAATTAATGCACATTAAGTAATTAAAAAACTCTCATTGTATAAGAAACTCTCATAATATTTATAAATGTTAGAGCCACGCTGCCGCTATCTTATGATTGTAGCACGAATGTTTGGCTCGACCGGGGAAGGACCACACTTTCATAGGTCGTAAAATAGCAACTAAATGCTGATGAATAGTAAG